GAGAGAGAGAGAGAGAGAGAGAGAGAGAGAGAGAGAGAGAGAGGTTTGAGATAAAAAAAATGTTTTCAGAGGAAAACCATAAAACAAAAACCAACTGTAACAAAAAGTTGGCGCATGCACTTGTCAAATAAAGTCATGTCTTTAAAAACAAGAGTAAAGCTGAACTGAGAGTTTAAAGAATGTAACTGCATGTTCTTCTTAAAATGGGATATGTTGTTTGTGCTTGTGTGTGTTCAAAACAAAAAAGAAAGGGAGTGAGGAAAATAGAAGAAATACATTATTAGAGGTCTGAAGAAAAAGCAAGAAGACAGACCTTGGTTCTTGAAACAGCATCCAGTCCGGAGGTGGAGAACGGTGGTTATGATTCTTATTATTAACACCTAATGAATGTGTCAAACATGAAATGCCATGCTGGGGAACACGTTTTTTTATTTCAATTTTAAAACAAAACCTAAAAATCATTACAAACACATTTTCAGATATCAGATATCAGTATTAAAGTAGAACCAGATAAACTCAATAATTTATTATTTATTTTATGCCCAATGATTAGTTTGTGTTTCAGAATGGGATACTTTTAATAAACTGTTTTTTATGTAATTGGAAACTTCAAATGTGTGTCCTCAGAATTAAAAAAAAAACATACCTTCTTTTGTATTTTAAAAAATTTTTCATCCAAATTTATGGTTTTAGAAAGTATATATTAGTAAATGTGATTTTTTTTTCATTATTAAAGCAAAGAGACTGGATCAATATCAGCGGTGTTCACAAAGATCTGTCATTATTAAAGCAATCAYTTGTAATGTGTGACAGACATTTAGCTGTTAGCATGTTAGCACATGAGACATCCTGCTGTAAAAACTGAAGTCAGAGTCACAAAACCACACAGTCTGAATACAAACTGGCTTTGATCTCATGTCTTGAAATAATTAGGAACAAATTTGCCATCTTTGCCAAACCTTCCAGTTCACGGTGCAGTGATAAATTCCAATGGAAGAAAAAAAACTTTTTTTGCAGAAGTTGTTCCTCCGATCTTCTAAATTTGTGTATGGCAACTTAATTATGTCTGAGCGCTAAACCCATGTTGTGTTTTACCACTTTGGTGACTCCATGCTGGCAGACTATTTGCTTCCCTGCTCTGGTGAGGGAAAGCCTTTTTATTTGTGGTTTCTGACTCTTTATTCTAAGCTACTCATAAAGCACCAAGATGAGTGATATCATGTGGTCTTCATCAACAAGGGAGCTTTTTGTTTGACTTTATGGCCATTTAAATAGAGAGATTAAAGACAATGACACACAGGGAAGGTTAGACGGCAAATGGAACCAACAATTTAACAACTTCTTTCTTCATACTGGTTTTCGTTTCACAGAGCACATGGGTCCTCACTTTTCAAACTTTGTCCAACACGTCTTGCACTTTTTTTTTAATAGTTACTCAGTTTGCCCAGGGAAAATGTTCACTTTCTTCACACAGCCAGCAAAATCAAAGCATACGGTTGGCAGAGAAAATTATCAATAGGTTACCAGGAAGTTTGGGTCTAATAAAATGTGCTGGCTGCCAAACAGGAAGTGAGCTTCAGGCATCATTGAAAGTTTATCCATACTGGTCCCAGTAACAAGCAATAATTTTACACCCGCAGCACTGAAGTTATTTTTATATTTCCACTTTGTCATTATAAGCAATTTCACACAAAWAATGTACAATGTAAATGTCTGTGTTAGAAAAACATGTACAGAACAGTCTGGATTCAATAAAAACATTCAGTGAATTTATAATCTTTGTTGTCGAGGCAAATATCAATCTTTTTTTATTTTATTTTGTATATTGCATTGAATTTCAATGYGTTAAACTGCTTGTACTTCACTGAATTGTGATTAAAAGCTGAATTCAGCAGGGTTTTGCGGCAGTTATTGGACCCAGACATGCACCATAATAAACATAATTTGTGAGCCATCACATCAAAACGAGGATTAAGTCTAAAAGTGGTATATGGAGAAATAGGCAAATATAGTGTTTTGATAAAAAAAAGTTAACAAAACTTGCATTTTGTCAAAGTATAATGAATAAATGCCTTATCAATGTATCATTTGAATGAATTGTCTGAAATAGAATCATAAAACAAAATTTTGAAGCACTTTTTTTCAGCAGTAGCAACAAAAAAACTTAATTTTGAGGAAAAACCGACTTAAATTTTTGAGATTTTACCTCTGGGTTGGCAACGTTTTGTTTCTTTCCAGCTGGGAAATCTCAATATTCAAATAAAATTTGAGGTTTCCTCTTCATAATACATCAAAATTCTCTTATTAAAATTACACAAAATTGGGATTCAGTGCAAATATTTATGTATTATTGTAACCAACAAGACAAATTAAGTCATATATACAGTATATATGGATTTACTTAAGATATCAGAATAATCCAGGAATCAAAATGTAGCTTTTAAAACCAAGAATCTGAAAATGTAATTAGGTCATTTTGACCAAATTTGACTTAATCCTGATTTCGATATGATGGGTCACATTTACCTGTTGTTAACTGGGATAAAAGCCTATTCTTATTGTSTTAATCATGGCAACAGTAAAACCTGAAGGAAATGTCAGGATCTAAATGAATGTTTTTGTGCATTTTGTTCTAAAACTTGACTTTATTTAAAATCTTTATGACCTTTATTTAAATTTGAAACTCTAAAATGAAACAAATAAAAGTTATCCTTTAGTTTGGCGCAGCTTTGCCTCAACCTGCGCATCTCTCCTGAAGTTGAATAACTTTGCTGCGCTTCAGGGCGCAGCCTGAAGTGTTGCTGGTTGTCCTTATCTGGGAGGATCTCTATCACGCTTTAACGAGGCACTTGACCTGCCTCGGCGCTCTCCGACTCCCTGAGTGACGCAAAAAAAAAAAAAAAAAAAAAAAAAAAAAAAGTGGGCTGGCAGAGCGCTAAGAGCAGCAGTTTAGAGGACTATCGGTGCGCACCGAAACATCAGCAGAGTTCATTTAGAAAGCTCATCTCTCGGATGCCAAATCACCTTCAAATCCATGCACACCGGTGAGCGCGCGGATGTATCTGAAAGCTGCGACTTTCCCCTCCAACCTGTGGCAAACTCACGCTGTCGGTCAGTGAGTTGGAGGCTAGATGAAACTTTTTTTCTTTTCCCCCCTTGCTGAATGAGGACCTCACCGCTGGCTGCCACATCTGGACTCTCCGTGCGCTGYCGGAGCTGTCATGTTCAGCGCGAACTTTTTTTAACAGGGACTTCAACTCACGCGAGCAGTTCTCAGTTTGCCCAGCGCTGAACTTTCAGGAGTTGTATTGGAACTAGTTTTAAACAAACCTCTCCTCTTCAAGCGATTTTCTCTCTTTTTTATTTTTATTTTTTTTTTTGAATTTTTAAAATATTTTTATACATCCAAACGCGCAAAAATGGAACACCCAGTCCTCAGGCTGACATGTGTCTTAGTGGTTATCTGTCTTTTGGATAAAAGGTGAGTTAAATAACAAATGAACTAATGTTGATGTTATAAAAAACGTTTATATTTATTGTATTTTCAACTAACTTTGTCCAGTTTGTGTCATGAAATCACTTATTTTGGGTAGAAGATCGCAGAACCTGACTAAAGTGTAACTTTTTCATCCTAAGTCATTCATTCATACTAGTAGAGATGCCCACAGTGTTAAAAGTTTGAACCAGCAATTACACCATAACATAATGGGATAAATATAATTTCAGTTTGTCACGTGTTGAATAGGGGAAAAACACTTTTGACAAAGTTCTTTAAGTGCAGAATTCCTAACAGGTAGTTACTGTAACTGAGAATAAAATGACCAAAATGATCTAAAACGTTTATTTACAAGTAAATAATAGTTTATGTAATGAAATCTGCACTTTTATGCCATTCAGTACTTATGGTCTCTTTGGTTTAAGAGCAACGTCTTGCAGGAGTTGCATGTGTCATAGCTGCTGAGAAGTAGGTGTCAAAGTAAGTGTATTCACCTCTCGTCAACATAAATATGAAGATGTGCTTGAGCATGCAGCCACCATAGTGCATGTGTGTTTACCAAGAGCTGTACATGCTCCTGGCTGTGTTTTACTGTCAGAAACAGGAAACTCCCGCGTTCTTTACAATGAAAAGAAAATCAGGACAACTGTCAACTTCGAGTTATTGAGTCATCACCAGAGCAGCTTCTGTTTTCCTGTCGCTCCTGTTACTGCTTCTCTGTGAAAAGGAAACAACTTAGAAAGCATTATTCATGCATTTTATTGCAGGAAAACTGTACTTCCTTAGATGATAAGGACTTGTATATATCACCTGTTTTTAGTGTTAAAATGAATCTGCCAGTGTTGGTTCACAGTTTTCATAATTACACTTAAGATATCATGACTTTTTAAGAATATAAGTAATGGCTAAATTTCTAAAAGGTGGGGGTGCGCTTTTCTTTCTAAGAGCCGACATCTGGAGTTGTTTTTGTAACGTTAATCCACATTTGCTCATTTCTTTAGATTATCTAAGAGTCAAAACCTTGGAGCATCTCTAAGTTATGGTGATGACACCTGAGGGACATTAACAGGCAATATATGTGGGAAAAACAAGCAGACAAGACTAAACATTTGACTTGTGCATCTGTCAGTTACTTGACCCTTTATTTCTTCACTCAGGGTGGATTCCAATGAAATCTTGGGCCTGAAGCTCCCCAACATCGAACCGATCCTGAATGCCAACACAGTGTGTCTGACGCTGCCAGGGCTGACACGACGCCAGCTGGAAGTGTGCATGCGTAATCCAGACGTAACGGCTTCGGCAATCCAGGGAATCCAGATTGCCATCCACGAGTGCGAGCACCAGTTCAGAGGACACCGCTGGAACTGCTCCAGCCTGGAGACCAGAAACAAAATACCCTACGACAGCATAGTCTTTAAAAGAGGTCAGTTTTACTAAGTTGTGTTTTCTCGTTGAGAAAAAAAAACTATTGCTGATTTGTGTAAACAAGATGCACTCACTGCAAAGACAGAAAGATCAGACAAATAGAATTTTATAAAGTAATAAACAAAAGCCACAAAATTTTGTAGTTTTACGAAAAAATTTGGAAAATGTCATATCAGTTAGTTAAAAAAAGAGAAAAGCAAAATTGGAACCAATCACATGCATTTGTTTACGTACGGAAAAAACCGAAGTGACCGAAAACAGGTCAAATGTTAAACTTACTCATCTAGCTCGGTGATTCCCAACCAGGGGTACGTGTACCCCTTGGGGTATGAGAACATATTACAGGGGGTTTGTGGAAAAGTTTCCCAGGTGTGTAAAAAAATAAATAAAAATATGACCGAGATATGTAGGACCCTATGATTTCCACAAYGCGGAAAATGCAAACGGAATCACAAAATCGACACAAAATGGAATCCTGCATAAAACGCGGAATCTCGTAGAATTTGCTCGTTTGGGGTATTTGATGTATTTTGGTTGCTGCTGCTTCCTGCACCTGCCTTTACCTGGCTTATTTATTTAATTATGTATTCACTTTCAAGTCAACATATTTATCTTTATGTTTAATTTGAGATGAAAAGAATAAAATTCCAAATGCTCTTGGGGGTTAAATAAATAATTTTCATTTATTAAACAGTTGTTGTACATTATAGTTTTGGAGAATCATCATTACTTTTGACAGAGGGGGTACTAGTGGTATGACAAAATGGCTTGGGGGTACCCAATTGGGAACCACCGATCTAGCAGCTGCTAAAAAGTTGTGCATGGTTGAATGCTTATTTTTAGGGCGCTCTCTTGATACCTTAATATTTTTCTTCATGACAGTTGTTTTACTCGTTCTTTCTCTTATATTTTTCATTTAGTAGCTTATAACACAACCTAAACCAGTTAATTCCTGTTTACCACGTGTTTCAAGCTTCCACGTGGGTTTTGGTGTTTTTCAGCCAAGTGCTTTGTTTACATTCAGTGATGGCCCGAGCGTTGAAACCTAAATGACAAAGAGGTTGTTTAGGGCTTCAGAGTTAAATCCCATCGGGCCAAAATTTACTCTTCAATCAAACTGTGGTTTCCTCTTCTAACGCACTTCAATGGAGCATCTTGAAAGCGTCGGCTTAGAGAGAGATTAGCTGTCACAGGGAGATAAAGGGTCCTAAACAACATTTAAAATTGCATTATTCTACAGACAACCATATCCAAAAAGTATAACTTCACTAGTTTCATCTCACAACGTGTCAACCATATGGTCAGGTTATCTCTGGTCACCAGGCGACCTGGTGTTCTCTTTCTAACCACCTAACYGCCGTTTCTCAATAACGTGCACAAAAGAGCACATAACTTCAAAAGAAACTGGTCACCTTCGGATTACCAAACCTCATACAGATCAGTTTTCGGATGCTTTGTTGTGTTGGGAGCTTTGCAAGTTAGCCACAAAGGATGAAAGAGGATCTTTGGAGTTGAGAAGCCTTCAGATGGTCTCATCCCAGGTCACTAACTGGAAAAGGCATCAATTTCTAAGTAGCCTGAGCACCTGGTTGCATGGAAGGACACCCAGCGTGGTTACGTTTAGGTGGACTTTCTGTTGTTAGAAAGAGAAGACAAGTCCTCAAGACAGAAAAATCAACACAATAATAAAATCTTGTCACTTTAATACCAGCTGTTGCAGGAATTAGTTTTATAGAACAGGTTTAAATCATTGTGAAAGAGTAATATTTATAATTATAGAGATAACTTTTGGATACTCCCTAAAATAATTAAATATATATTATACCTCTAATTTGTACAAAAACACTAACATTGCAGCCTTGGTGATTATATCCTATTACTAAAGGGAAAAAACGTTTGTATTACACAATTTGCTGACACACTGGTCTTCTGCTCGTTATCGGCTCATTGAAAGGCTGTTTGTCATTATTAGTAGAAGCAGTTGCTGGTTGTCTGGCATCCCTGGTTTGCCTCGGGTGCAGAAACTCCAAACCACTGATATAAACAACCTCTTTAAATCAGATGATTCATCTGTTGCATGTTGATATGATCCTCTCCACAGAAGCTCAGAAAGTTGGATACAAGTTAGCCATTACTGTACTGAGGACAGGCAACGCTTTCAGCAAGAGAGCCTCACAGCCACGTGTTGCAAAGAATTCAGGAAGTTAGGCTTATATATTTTTAATGTTTTTTTAATCAAGTTTGTCTGTAGCATTGATGTTTCCAGTAAAACTTCCTTTTTGGAACCTTTCCAACTCAAACAGCTTTGTTTTAAATGGTTTCAAGTATGCTAAGTATATATGCAAATGTCAGTGTCGCTGTCAAATGCTGCTTTGAGTCTCAGAATCTGCTGATAGTTGCTGATTATTATTTATTTATTTTCTGGAGGGGTGCTTTTGTGCTCATTCCTGCTCAGCTTGTTGGATTTAAAAAAAAATTCCAGGAAAGACAGGGATAGACAGAAATAGGCGAATTGGTCCATCTCTTTCTGTCAGTCTATCTTTCATTTTTTCCCCTCCTGATCTGTCACTGGGCTGCTCCTAATGCTTTTTACTTCCCTTGCCAATGCAAGTACTTGTGAATTTGCTCTCAGCACTTTCCCAACTCTCAGAGGCAAAAGCATAAACCTGTTTAGTTGGTTTCTGTAACACAAAGTGACAGTTTCCGTTGAATCTTTAATTCATTTTGCCACTTCCTCTGCCATCAGTTCAGCCGGGCGTGCCGCACCCGGTGAATTATTTGTTAGATTGATTTGTTTCCAGTCATCCAAGGACTTGTGATGAGAAGCCTGGAGAAGAGCGGGCCAAGAGCTAAAACAGGCTTTCTGTTTGTGGGAGGTGTGCCTGAGTGCCATCGCTCTTGTCCCACCTGCTGCTGGTCAAGGTGAGAAAGACGAGATAGCAGGTTGGATGTCAGTCAGTTTTATATAATGGCTACATCAAACAGTTATGTGGTTTAAACCAAACTTATTTTAGCCTGGCCATTGCCTTCCCACAGTTCCGCTCAATTCTWGCTCCATTTGGGGTTTCTCCCATAGACAAGGGTTTCTCCGGTAGAATTTCAACCGGGCCAATTAGCGAACAGAAGAAGGAGGTGATTGATGTTGATTTTCTGCACCGTTTTAGTCTCCCTGTAGTTTAGCAATGGCAGCGGAGGAAGTGATTGAAGCCAGTCCTTGTTTACAAAGCAGTGCAGGCTCTATCCCKTTTGGTGCCCTAGGCGAGTTGAAGTGCACCCCCCCCCACAAACTATGTCCCACCCACCCCAATTTGAACCCCTAAAAACAAGTTTGACAGTGTAAGGTACTATGGTAAACTTAGATTTATTTGCTATCCCAGAAAGCAAATAAATAACAACATACATGTCAACTTGTATGGATTGTCCGTAAGTTATAAGGATTGTACATCATTTTGCAGGTATAGGGCAATATATGGACGTATAGAGCAATCTCACGGATTTTTTCAAGTCTTACTGCTTTTTTCAAAACCTCGTTTTCAAATGTATCTAACATGCCAGAGCCTGTAGGATGATTAATAAAACAATAAATAAGATTAAATAGCCATCTTCCAACCTGTTCTGCTGATAGGAATGAGTTTTGAACTTTTTCCGCTCTCCTTTCCTCCTGCTTCGCTACGGGCGCTTTCATGTCCCCAGCGAGGCTAATGGATTTTTGAGGCTTTTTATACAGGTAAATGTCCGAAGAGGCTGACATGTATGGGACAACAAAATACAGACTTGTTGTAATTTAGTTTGTCTACATGAACCATTACCTGAGAGGCACTACTAGCCCCTCCCCCATCAGAGAGTCGGAGCAGGAGAAGTCAGTGCAACGTCAATCAAATGAGAGAGAGGGTGGGGGCGATTGCTGCATTGGGGGGGTGGAGGGGAATGTTTTATGGGTAGAGTTATGGATTAATTATGTATATCTGTTCTACCTTGACACTGTCCAGTAACCATATCTTATTATAACCAGTTTCGGCTGTTTTACTCTATCGGCCAGACTTCAAGACTCCAGACCTCTTTAATTCTGATAAGGTGTTTCCAGGCTGACAGTCCTGTCATTGGTTAGATGGTTACAGTTGGCGATTTGTGATTGGTTATAAGCATGTCACATGATGTTATCATGATCTTATATTATTGGCTGCTCTCTGCTGATGAGTCAGTCACAACTCAGCAGATTTCCTGATTGACTGTCTGCTGTGTTGTTGCTCAGAATTAAATCATTTTGACGACCAAACACGCAGACTTTCTGTGCATTTATTCCAACGTGTTTCTGCATTCTTGGTAAATCATGCCACGACAGGTAGAATAGTTTATTTTTCCTGTAATACTTCATTATACTTTTTAAGACAAAGCTAAGTGAAAGGGGCGCTGAGCAGAGTTACAACCAGGGATTACAATTACCTTTTTTTCTTCTGCAGTGCGGCACCCCCTCCAGCAGATGGCGCTGTAGGCGACCTCCTAGTTCGCCTATGCCAAGAGCCGGCTCTGTAATGACAAGGCTTACAAATTAAGTTAAAGTTGTCTCACAAAGCCTGCAGCACTCATTTATCTCATTCGGCTCAGTACTTCTCTCTTCCCAGTAGCGGATGATTGTTTACAGCGTATGCATTTTCCGGTTAGCTTCTTAGCTTAGCTTCCTTCACGGTCGAGCTGGCGCACTATACATCACGGCCAAGCAATAGCTATTGGGTAAAATCAGATCCAATCGTTTTAAACTTCAACAGAGTCCACACCTCCAGCAAGGAATTGTTTCTCTTTAGTCGAGGTTCCAGCCCCTGTACGAAGCAAAGAGAAGAACAAGGGGCTGTTTTTTTTAACCAGGCTAAACATATTTCACTCCAGCCAACTATTTTTCTCATTATGTCACTTTTAAATGTGACAACACGTTTATGCTGAGTAAATGACGTTTTCACTAGTTCATGTTGATTCTTGTGTTAACGGCAATCATTGTTTGCAGTCTGATGATCAACTTAATCAACTGACACAGCCTTGTTCCATAATTAAATGTTTAGCTTTCTTTAAAAGGATGTACATCGCTCACTCTCTTTTCTGCCAGAATTAGACTAACATCAGTCATTGTTGRGAAATGTAGTTATTTTTGGTCAAGCATTGCAAAGGACATCATGCTTTGCCTTGCGTGACTTTGCATGATCAGTTAGTGCTTGTCAACTACGACCACACCTAATTCTAGCAGAATATCTGTAAATTAAAAAACAAAGCCATTTTTTGTGTAAATAAAGGTTAATAAGCTGACAACAATCTTGATTTGGTTTGACCCCATTTGTAAATCGATTGTAAATGTCAACCGTTTGATTTTTTTTTCCCCTCTAAAAGTTTCATTACAGTTCACTCAATGATTCATAAAATACTTTTCTAATGACAGACAAACAAACACATGCACACACATAGACACAAGTAAAAACATCATCACTACACCTTCGCCTTTGGCGGCGGGTAATAGTAATTTAGACGATGGCCATAACAGTCTGTTTTGATAGTGAATACACATAAATTTATAAATAAAAATTAATCATTTGATTTATTTCAAACAGTAGGAATGTGGAACAACGTTTAATTTGCTTCATCTCCTTTTTTTTGCCTCAACATGTCCTTTCTTTCACAGCATCTAGTCTGTTGACTTTTGGTCCTCGGGGCTATTTTTGATGAAAAAAAAAAAGATTTAAGCAGGTCTGTTTTCTGTAAAAAAGAGACTTAAGCCACATTAGGAGGAAAGAAGGGTTGTCAGAAATCCAAATCCCACACACAAAATATTCCTCCCCAGGACCAAAACATATCTAACTTCATCTTGTTTTTTTAGTTCTTTATTTTTTTTACTTTCACTGTTGTGCTATCTTTTCATTTTGAGCCATCAAAAGTTGATTGTTTCTGTTTAGGAATCTGTTATAGCTCATTTTTTAATAAAAATTCTCAAAGTGCTGATTTTCTGCATGCTATGAATCTTATTCTTATTGAAAAATACACAAAAAATATATACTATTGTAATCATTGTTTAAAGCAGATCAACATGGCATCAACTGTCAGACATTACAACATAGCTCACTATCACACTCATTACATTTTTCTCTGCATATGTATTAAAAAGGAAGTAACCTCAAACAGAGCTAAAAAAGGCCAGATCCAGTTATTAGCTTTTTATTTGACTCCAACAAGCAGCTTGAATCATTCCCCCTTCGAGCACTGTGCTATAAACCCGAGTGGTTGCTTTTCATGTTTTCTTTACAAGTTTCCATTCTAATCCTCACTATTTTCTGAACCAGCGAGTGGCTGTCGGTGGTTTCTGCATTTAGAGAACCTGAGGGCACCTTCACGAGCAGAAAGCTGACATCTGACAACAAACACCAAACGGGGTGTGAGTTCATAGATGTAGTTGAACATGACTTTCTTCATTGGAAATACATCATGAATGCATTTGTCTTTGTTTGAGAAGATGAGTGACTGGTTTTACGATTTACAGATTGTGATTAATGTGTGTCCGTTACACACGTCACCTGCTGTCTAAGAGAGAAACACGTGGATGAAATGCCAAAATCATTTGTTTTATTACACTCAAAACTTGCATGCACATACCAGTTTTACTACCGCCTTTTATTATTTTATTTTCAGTAATTTGTTGGAACTAATTTGACTGCATATACCCATCCTGTACTGCATAACTAATCTATCTAAAATATATAAAATAATTTAACTATTTATACAGGAAAAATAGGTCAGCCACTCAGCCTTCAAGTTCAGTAGAAGTTATAATCATGATGAAAAATCCAAACAAGATTGAGAAGATTCAGTGTAATACAAGACTTCCCGTTTACCATAAATACATCCAACATATCTGTACTCACCATAAAGTAATTTTGTAACAGGTATTTTCTAGTGTTGTAGCACTTAAGAACGGTCTTGGTCTTAAGACCACTTTTTGATGGTCTTGATCTTGTCTGGGACTCAACCACATTTGTACCCAGTCTTGGTCTTGGACATTGAGGACTTGGGATTTTATTTCAAGACCAGTCAAGACCAGAACTATGGAAATAATAAATAGCCAGAATATTCCCCAGTTTCTTTGTTAACATTTTTTTTTGCTTTCATTGGATATAAAATGTACTGATTTAAATCCAAACCTGACTCATTGCTATTTATGTAATTGTGTTWCTGCTGTCATCAACCCCTACTCCCTTTCACTCACATGTGACACTCTAAGAAAGTGAGCAGTGGTTCTCTGGGAGCAGGATAAGACGTCTGCTAAATCTTCAGTATACAGTTTGACAACATAAATCATAAAGAATATGTTTGTAAAACACCCTTCAGGAGAAAATATCCTGATGCATCTCAGTAATCCAGGTAGAATAGTCAAGTGGGGCACTTGAACCTCTATGAACAATAGAGCCAATCAAGGCAATAATGACCTATTGTTTGGCTGAAGGTCCTCTTTTGCATCYGACCAACCTGTTTGTCCACCATGTGGAGGCAGTGCTCATAAGGCTGAGTTCACCTGMAACTCCTCAGACTGAAGAAGTCTCTTGGAGGAGAGATGAAAACTTTAATTAAAGAAAAACCCATCCAGAGGACCTACTTGAATTCAGGAGATTTCTGCAGTGCTTCACTTTCAGAGATGGTGGGGGCAACRTCAAACTTTTATCATCACTAATGTTAGTTAATGTTAGCAATCTGCCTCTGTAGCAAAATTCTTTACTCAGTCTCAAAGAGATTTTGTCACTTTTAGCTCTACATATAAAGTTAGTTACATGCATACTCTAGCTGTATACATTGGATAAAGGGAGATCTACCTGTTTTGCTACATATGTAGCTAGTTTTATTATTATTTCTTTTTCTGGTTTTGGTCTTAACTCAGTCTCTCTCTCCCTCAGTCTTGGTCTCGACTTGGTCCAGGCCCTAAAAGTCTTGGTCTTGTTTCAATCTTGATGTGGTCTTGGTCTTGACTTGGTCTCGGGTTAGGTGGTCTTGACTACAACACTAATATTTTCTTATTTACTTGTTTCAACCTGTTTCTTTTTTACTTGTTTCAACCTGTTTGAGTACACACAGAAAAGGATGAGTAAAGTCTGTGCCATTTATYATGTTCAAGACCAAAAATGTGAAGTAAATATCAAGTGATGAAGTACAAACTCTAAGCRCACATTTTCCCATCATCGGCATGGTGTTGATGTTTTCATTTGTGTGGTTTGCATCACATTAGGTTACATCACTACTATCCTCTCCCTGTACCTGCAGGTTTTCGAGAGAGTGCCTTTGCGTATGCCATCGCAGCAGCCGGCGTGGTGCACGCTGTGGCCAATGCTTGCTCCATGGGTAAACTCAAGGTCTGTGGCTGTGATGAAAAACGGCGTGGGGATGAGGAGGCGTTTCGCATCAAGCTTCACCGCTTGCAGCTGGAGGCCATCCACAGGGGGAAGGGGATGGTTCATGGCGTGATGGAGCACTTCCCTGCCGACATGCCAGGACTACCCCAGGACTCCTGGGAGTGGGGTGGCTGCAGCCCCGATGTGGAATTCGGAGAAAAGTTCTCACGGGACTTCCTGGATGCCCGTGAAACCTACCGGGATATCCATGCTCGGATGAGGTTGCATAATAATAAAGTTGGGAGACAGGTGAGTGCTTCAGTAGATTTTTGTTTGTTTGTTTGTTTTGAGGCCTGTTGTTTTCCATTTAGTTGTCATTATTGTAAATTTGTGAAGCCAGTTGCTAATGGGTACAAAATCTATACCCAAGAAATTCCACTAATTTTGCATTTGAAGTCTGTCACAATAATGCCAGCATGATGGCTCAGTGGTTAGCACCCACGTCTCACAGCAAGAAGGTCCTGGGTTTGATTCTGGGGTCTTTCTATGCAGACTTTGCATGTACTCCTCGTGATTGTGTGTGTTTTCTCTGGGTACTCCTGTTTACATAGCTCCCAAAAACATGTACAAAAGGTGTCCTTCAGGCCCAGGTCACCCTTGAAAAAGACATCTGTGATCTCAATGGGATATGGATGGATGGATGGATGGATGGATGGATGGATGGAT